CCTGCTACTCTCTCTAGTCTTAATCCCATTCATCACCAAGGATTACGTTTATGCCTTGGTGAGTTTAGCTCTTCCCCTGTTGAAGCATCTATGCAGAAGCGAACGTTCCATCCTTATCCGATCGCCGTGATGCCCATTGCCTCGCTACTATGTACGCTCTCATGATCTCTGCAGTCCTTCCATTTGTGAATGGTCACCGATATTAGTAGGCATTCTTTATTTGTTACCGCCCCTGTTTGCTCCGTCCCTTCCCTTCACCTACATTCGCTCTTGTCTTCTCTTCAGTTACCACCCTCTATGTTCATGTAGCATCTCACTTTTTCCCTACGTCCCTGGGAAGTTCCAGCTGTTCAAGTCTGTTCTTTCTCACTCCCTTGCTCGAAAGCCCAACTGTCTGCGGTAGCTTCCTGCTCTCTTTTCTTGACCACTTCCTCTCTCATTCTCATGCCATTGCAGTGTACACAGATGGCTCTAAGTCCTTCTGACGGTGTAGGATTTGCAGCAATGTTTCCGGACAACATCGTACGAGGGCATTTACTGTCTTCGGCTAGTATCTTTACTGCTGAATTGTATGCCCATTCTTGCAGCACTTATCCATATTGCATCTATGCCTATGTCATCATTTGTGGTTGCTCAGACTCCCTTAGTGCTTTACCAGGCTATACAGAAATTTGATACACCTCACCCCCTTAGTCCTCATATCCAACTTTGGCTACACCGCATCTCTTCCAAAATAAAGATATTGTTTTTTGTTGGTCCACTGGTCATGTTGACGTACAGGGCAATGAACAGGCAGACACTGCTTGTGCGGTCAGCAGTACATGACCTACCAGTTTCATATAGAGGTGTTCCATTTACGACTATTTTGCTGCAATAGCTACCCACCTTCACACCCGTTGGCAACAACGTTGGTCCTACTCTGCTCGGTAACAAACTTCAATCTATTAAACCGAGATAGTTTAATAGATACTCATGTATCTCATGGAGAGGTGCCCTGCTCCTCTCTGGAGAATTGTCAGTTTCATTTTCGGTTAGCCACATTCTATTAGACTGCCCACTTTATCAACGAGCACGCAGAAATACCGCCTACGTCGTCTTCGCTCCGCTGCTGTCTCTTTACCTTCCTTCCCTGATGGACCCACCTTTCATCCGACTCTCTCATTGACTTTTTGACAACAACTGACTTACTTCACAAACTCTGATGATACCTTCAGCCCTTTCTACCTCAATCTCTTGCTGCCCTCTACCCGCGCACTATCAGCTGCCCCGCTGTTTTCTGTAACCAACTGATCATCCCTACCCCCTTCTACCGCCCAATACCCTCGCTTCCTTCCCTACCCTGCAGCGCTGTTAGCCCTTGTGGCTTAGCGCTTCTTTTTGATTATAATAATAATAATTCACACTTTCATTAATATCACTAAGGGTCGATAATATGTCGGTATCTATATGCGCCTGGAGTGACGGGCACTGATGTAGGAGGAAGGGGAGAGGGTGTTGCGGTAGTCAAATGATTACAGAGGTGCACAATGGGTCCAGGGACTGGGCCACAAAGGTTTGATAAGATGAACAAGTTACAAAGGTTATGAACCATATCACACGTCCAAACCTGGTCACAACTGTAAGGGTTATCAAACCCTTTCACTCTACATCGACTACAAATCCACTAGGTTGTAATGTGCTATTGATGGGCAGACGATGAAGGCGCTCAGTCGACTCTATTCCTCAGTGGATGACATCGACCCCTTCGTGGCTGGCATCTCAGAGAGGCAGGCACCTGGCTCCATCCTTGGACCCACCTTCAGGTAAGAGTCAACGCCAGGAGAGCTACATGAAGTTTCTGCATAAGCAGACATAAGGAAATGATTAAAAAGATGGCAACTAGCGGAAGATGGAAATAATGGAAGAACATACAGGGAATAAAATGTTATGGGACAAGCAGATATTAGGAATAAAATGATGGAAGACAAGAAGATATTGGGAATAATAGGAGATAAGAAGCTAGGGAGATAAAGAAAACGCTTGAAATGCCAAAAGATGCAGAGAGATGAAAAGGTGGGAGGAAGTTATGGGGATATATAGATATGTTAGGTTTAAAGTTCATCGATTGCGTGAGATCATAAAGGCTGCATTTTACCTGTACTGGTCAAGGTCTGGGCCGCGGGAACGTTGACCCCCGGAGCCTTTAGGTAGACCACCCGTCCAGAATACTTTAATGCCTAAATTAGACATTAAAGTCTCAGTTTATATATATGGAAGTACATACCTGTCAGTATCCATACTGTTAAGGCTGGAGAGGGACAGGGAACGATAGGGAAAAGATACATCGGCAGCGTAGGGGAAGAAAGATAAAGGGTACGATAGGGAAATACAGCAAATGGGGAGGAAGGAGAAGATAGTATGGAGGAATAGTGAACGCAAGATGAGGGAGAGAAGAGGGATCCTTACAGAGAAACATGAAGACACAGGAGATAAAGAAATAATGACGGAGAAGAAAGGATAGGATAAAGGTTAGCTTTATTTATTAGTATCTCCATTAAGTAATATATACAGTGAAACTAATAACTAACACTCATTTACCTGCAAAACTTGTGTTACTTACCTGTGCGATGTTCGTATATCTCATCACTGACCTTTTACTCCCAAGGAAAACAATAAAATATGATTATGCAGATTTTAGCTATGCCAGATTTTTAATATGCAACAAAACTAACTAAACCCTGTTAATATTAACGAAATGTACAAATGTCCTTTCGCATGCTATTACATTACTTTTTAACAAGTCACTAGAAACTAGCACTTTCCCGACACTACTCAAGACAGCAAGGGTTACACCAATACATAAAGGTGGTGACCCTACAGATGTAAACAACTATAGGCCAATATCAAACTTACCATTTCTATCCAAAATCTTCGAGAAACTCGTGCACAGGAGACTATATTCATTTACAACGGCACAAAACATACTCAACCCCTGCCAATTTGGATTCAGGAAAAATAAAAGCACTAATGATGCAATTATAAAAATGCTAGACCTGCTTTACACAGCATTGGAAAATAAGGAATATCCGCTAGGAATTTTTATTGACCTAAGAAAAGCGTTTGACCCCAGTAGACCACGGCATCCTACTCCACAAACTTGACCACTATGGTATAAGAGGCCATGTGCTTGCATATTTCAAATCCTACCTTTCTAATATTAAGGCATCAGTATGTCACCATTAAAGACACAGCCTTATCAATACGGCCAAATTGAAACTGAGTTCCGCAGGGAAGTTTCCTTGGATCCCTGCCTTCCTCATTTACTCAATGATCTTCCAAACATATCCCAACACCTGAAACCCATTCTCTTTGCTGACGACACGACTTATGTCATCTCTCACCCTAATCTTGCCACCCTCAACACCATTGTTAACGAGGAGCTGCTCAAAATATCGACTTGGATGACAGCCAATAAACTTACACTTAACACTGACAAAACCTACTATATTATGTTTGGCAGCAGAGCAGGTGTTGCGCAGTTTAACATTAAGATCGACAACACTCTAATTGCCAGACATAATGAGGGCAAATTCCTTGGCCTATACCTCGACAACAACCTAAGTTTCAGCACCCATATCCAACACATAACAAAAAAAGTATCCAAAACGGTGGGGATCCTCTCCAAGATACGATACTACGTGCCGCAAACTGCCCTTCTTACACTTTACCATTCACTTATATATCCATACCTCACCTATGCTATCTGTGCTTGGGGTTCAACTGCAGCAACACACCTAAAGCCAATAATAACCCAACAAAAAGCCGCAGTAAGAATAATCACTAAATCTCATCCCTGGCAACACACCTCCCCCCCCCACTCTTCATAGATCTAAACTTACTCCCTGTTCAGTACATCCACACTTACTACTGTGCAATCTATATTTACAGGACCTTAAATTCCAATATTAACCTTGACCTAAAACGCTTTCTTGATAGTTGTGACAGGATCCACAGGCATAACACCAGACACAAACAACTCTATGACATTCCCCATGTCTGACTAAACCTTTACAAAAATTCAATGTATGTCAAAGGGTCTAAAATTTGGAACACCCTACCTGAAAACTCTAGAACTGCAGACACATTCATCACTTTCAAAACTACAGTTATAAAACATTTTATCTCCCTGATCCACCCCGATAACTAACTACATGATAACCACCTGGTGGTTCACAATTACACTCACTCACCCACTGACTATAAACCCAGAAATACTAATCTTAATCTTAAAATAATGAATCCTAACTAGACATAAGTTTGCCTATGATACTCCAATATAGACACTTTGTATTGTGCGAAAACAAAAGCATTCACATTGCTAAACTCACAAATTATGATGTAGTCACTTAGCCTTAATACCATAATCTGTAAGAATTTAATGTTAAGAATTAATCTAAGTCTGCTCGAAATGCCTAGCCATGCTAGGTGTCCTAGTGGCCCCCTCTATAATTAGTATTTTGTAACATGTAAACCACACAATACCCAAAACCTGTAAACCCCACATTGTAACCCTTATAGAGAATAAACTTGATTTTATTTGATTTGAATTGTTATTTCCTTGCGGTACGAAAACAATGTGGTTTACATATAATTAAACATTGTTAAGCACAAAAAAAGCTTAGAATTTGGCTTAAATACTAATTTTATTGATAAAAATCTGGATATGTACAGGTTATATGGAGCCTTAATGACCCTCGTGCAATCGATAGGCTTTAACCCAATATGTCAACTATCCAAGTCACAATACCATAGCTGGAATAATTCGCACCTAAAGGACAATTAGGAGAGAAAAGTTTAGATAATGTTTTGTCTTGATAATAGTCGAGGAAGGACCGAAACGTAGTCCAAAGTTACTTTACTAAATTGTGTTTATAATACCGGCTTTCTGTTGGAAGGAAAACGAATCTTCAGGTGACCCCTACATGTAGAATATTAGACACATTAATAGCTCTCCTTTACAGGTGCATCGTTGGCGACCAGTTTACCCGACTGAAGCGAGGAGACAGATTCTTCTACGACCTGGGAGACCTGCCCAGTTCATTCACTGAAGGTATGTTTATGCCTGGACCAGCTGACACCTTTTCCCTAAATGAACCCCATTTAAACTTATAGCCTAGAAACTTTATTTAAAAAAAATACTCAAAAGAGGTGTTACGACGAACAAAAACAATATTGGGAACATTATGTATACATAGTGGCTTGGTAGGCAAAGCTCTCACTTCACACGCTGAGTGTCCCGCTTCGATTCCAGGAAAGGGTGAAAACACTGGACGCGTTTCCTTACACCTGTTGTCCATGTTCACTCATCAGTAAAATAGGTACCCGGGTGTTAGTCGACTGGTGTGGGTCGTATTCTGGGATAAAATTAACCTAATTTGCCTGAAATGCTTTGCAAAACAAGGAGCTTTTATATATATATATATATATATAAAATATATATAATATATATATTATATAATATAATATTTTTATATAAATATATAATATATATATATCAAAACAACCACTGTAAAGAAATAGAAAAATTTCCCAAAAGCGCTTTCGTGACTACTCAAAATTATCAAGGAACTATGAAAGTAAAGCACCCCAAGGAAGGTATATAAGGGGTCTGGCCAACACCTCACTATCAGATCCCACAACAGTTAAACACCTGACGCGCACTGGCCCAACTGGACAAGTCCTTCGCACAACCCACCAACAAACTATTCTACCCAAGAAAATTTTAAAAATTAATTTTTTGTCCAGTGTATTATTAAATTCTTTCCCCAAAATTCTATTAATTATAAATGGATCAATTTATATAAACCAAAGGAAATATTCATATTATTGTCAAAACTGCTTTTTATGAAACAAGATTCAATTATATTCCTGTCGACCTTGGACTTGCTTGATACTACTTTCTCAACTTTTGAAAATCAATTGGATGGTTAAAATCTCTTACATGAATAAATAGAGCATTGGAATCTTGTCCAGTTCTAATGCTATATTTATGTTGTTTTAATCTTAAATTCGAGATTTTTAAACCAGTTTGACCGTAATAAACTTTATCGCAAATTTTACAAGGAATCTTATAGACACATCCATCAGCATTTTGGGTGAATTCTTTATCAAAAGTTTTTTTTTACTGATCAAGATTTTTTAATACAACTTTAATATTAAAAGTCTTTAGAATGAAGGCATATCAACCAAGTTTTCATGGTAAGGGAGAACCAACATATTTTTAGTTGAATAAGGCTGGTTGTCCCTTTTTGGATTGTAAAAAGTATTTCTAGCAACTTTAAAAGATTTATCAAATACATTTCTTGGGTATTTTAAATCATTACCTATTTCATAAATTTTGGATATTTCCTCATCTATGAACTCAGGACTACAAATTCGTAAAGCTCTCAAAAACATTGATGAGAAAACAGGCAGTTTGACTCTATCTTGATGCAAAGAATAATAGTAATCGTTTTTTAAATTTTCTTGGGTAGAATAGTTTGTTGGTGGGTTGTGCGAACGACCTGTCCAGTTGGGCCGCCGCACGTCAGGTGTTTAACTGTTGTGAGATCTGATAGCGAGGTGTTGGCCAGACCCCTTATATACCTTCCTTGGATGCTTTACTTTCATAGTTCCTTGATAATGTGAGTAGTCACGAAAGCGCTTGGAATTTCTCTATTCTTTCACAGTGGTTGTTTTGCATATTCTGAAATCACTTGTTTACTGTGATTTTATTTTATATATATATATTTATATATATATATAATATATTTTATATATATAATTTTATATATATAAATATATATATAAAATATATATATAAATAATATATATAATATAAAATATATATAATATATATATATAAATATATATATATATATATATATATATAATATATAGCAAAACAACCACTCTGAAAGAATAGAGAAATTCCAAGCGCCTTTCGTGACTACTCACATTATCAAGGAACTATATAGTTCCTTGATAATGTGAGTAGTCACGAAAGCGCTTGAATTTCTCTATTCTTTCAGGGGGGTGGTTTTTTTGCATATTTTGAATTTACCTGTTTACTGTGATCTTATTGCATATATAGCCTGTATAACTGTACATGTAGAATAAGTATTACTTTAATAATAATAAAATTATAATAATAATAATAATAATAATAATAATTATAAATTATTATTGTTTTTATATTTATTATTAAGCATTCTTAACAATGTTCATGGTGAAAACTGATTGCCCAAGGGCAATTAAACAGGTTAATAAGGTTACTATTTTTTTTCAAGACTTTTATCACTTACTTTGAGAGTTTATATGCATGTGTAATTTGTGGACATATTTTGAAATACGTTAAACATAGCCAAATTTCTGTGTTACCGTTTAAAATTTACTCTGGGGATATCCCACATAACTACCCCAATGGTGGAATAAATTTTGGGGATTAAACCAAGTTGTATGTCATGACGCATATACTTTAAGACATGTATTAAGGGAAACGTTTTTGCCATGACTAAATGTTTCCTTGGTTAATGTCTTAGTCAGTGCATACGTGTCTTTTATCTTACTATAAGAGCATTATATCTTTTCTCTCCTGATGGTCAATCTTCCAGGGAGTAAGAATAAAAAATTAACTCAAAGGACTATTAATCGTGACATTAGGACGCGTTTCTTTAAGACACCTGCTGTCCATGTTCACCTTTCAATAAAATAAGTACCTGGGTGTTAGTCGACTGGTGTGTGTCGCATCCTGGGACTATACCTGATTTGCCCGAAATTGCACTGCCTAACAAGGGGTTTTCTATATAGTAGTACAGTAGGGCCCCGCTTTACGGCGTTTAGCTTTACGGCGTTCCGCTAATACGGTCATTTCAAATTATGACCAAAACTCGCTATACGTAAGCACTAAGTCTCTCCATTATGTCTGGAAACTCCAAAATTTTAAGTGTTTTTAAAAGTTATTTCATATTTTATATATCCTCTGATAATTATGCTTATGTATACCTGTACTTAAATAAACTTACACACTGTGCTGGCATGCAGGTACACATTAAAATCAGTAAGAGTGTTTTATGTCTCCAGACGTCATATTAGTAATGATAATAATAATCATCGAGTCTCATTTAAATGTCGTATATTACGTTAATATACACATTTTCATTAATCCATCTATGATATTTTTTCAAAATTATATAATAAACACGATGCATAACATATAAATATGATAAACACCCCACAGTAGAATAAATAAACATAAATATGAGATGTGGTAGCAGACGACTTGCACAAAGTGACCCCCATATTAAAATAAAATAATAAAATAATAATAATAATAATAATAATAATTATAATAATAATCACCGAGTCTCATTAAATGTCGTATATTATGCTAATATACACATTTTCATTAATCCATCCATGATATTTTTTCAAAATTATATAATAAACGTGATGCATAACATATAAAGATGATAAATACACCCCACAACAGAATAAATAAACATAAATATGAGAGGTTGTAGGTGGCGTTACTCCCCTCAGTGTTTTAAAAATGGCTGAGTCAGCAGAACAGGTCAGGCAGTCAACAACACCACACAACCCCCGATAAATGGAATTGAGGGGGATTTGGAAGGATAAAACCATGGATTAAACCTTTCTGATCTACCAGAATGGAAAGGAGTTAGAAGTTAATTGGGGAAGCCAGACTGTGAAGTGAGATGGGAAGGGGAGTGTGTAATAAGGGGTTAACTATAAGGGTTTTGTGAAGTTAAGGGAAAAGTGAGCAGTGAAGAGGGTTTTGAAGAGGAAATTTTACTAGTAATTCAGTGGGATTGCTAAAGCAGATACTAAGTGTACTGGGGACTGGAAAAGAGAAATATATATTATTGTATATGAGTAAAAGAGCGAAGAGTAAAAAATGGCAGGCATTAGGGGATACAGGCTGCCATAAATTATATTTATGTTTCTTCTTCAATTCCATGAAGAAAGAAATCAGTCATGGGGCTGGAAAAGGTGACTGGAGTAACAGCGCCCTGGACAGTAAAAGCCCAACAGTTGCCATCCTACCAGAAAAGTAAATGTCACTATCGCTGCAAGGTATGGCAACACCGCATACCCAAACAAAAACAGTGGCACACAGCTCTTATTGTAGCGCTCTTAAGTGGTGATATTCCAAATTAATCCAGGACCTCAAACTATTTGTGCAGAGGCAAAACAGACAGATAAATGACGGCGATAATGACGGTCTAGTACTAGGAATGATAACCTTAACTCCATATGTAATGCATACATAGGTCAAGTGAGACAATACAGCCTTTATTATCTCAAATACTCCCAAACAGGTGCATACACTGTACTAAAGTATGCATAAAAAAACAGAAAAGCACCTTAATGTAAAATGTGTAAGGGTGGGTGCATGAGGGAATGTATGTACAATTATAGCAACGGTGCCAGAATTCATTTTGTGTGTAACAAATGCACTTTGGAAACAGTTACCCTTTAGCAGTGATGACATTGATTTACCTAATTTTAATACAAATGACCCATTGCCATATATTGATGATTATGATTGTTTTATGAAATCAGGCCTTCACTTTATTCATGTCAAAGCAAGATCACTTCTTCCTAAATTGGCAGAGATGAGGATTCTAGCTAACAAAATTAGGGCGGCAGTTATAACCATCTCTGAATCTTGGTTGGATGATACGGTGACTGACGACGAAGTCAAAATAGAAGGTTACAATATAAAACGCTTAGATAGGAACAGAAAGGGTGGTGGAGTATGTGCCTACATTAGAAATGACTTAGCTTACAACCCAAGACCTGATTTAAATAAAACTGGAGATTCTATGGTTTGAAGTGCTGCTTCCTAAGACCAAACCCATCTTAGTAGGAACTAGTTACCGCCCCCCCTACCCAGGACCAGTTCTTAGAAGACTTTTCCAGAGTCTTGTCCGGATTAAAACCAATTGCGAGACAATAATACTGGGCCCCTTCAATATCTGTTTTCAGCAGCAAAATAACGGGCTATGCAAAAGGTATAAGCAATTCTAGGATTAAATAGTTACACT